AAAAAAAAAAAAGGTGCCGGAACTCACACACGTCATACAACCTGCCTTGGATACCCTATAAGGTTCCATCCAAAAAAGGTGCCGGAACTCCGTTCTGGGCGTTCTATGAGGAAAAAAGCCCTGGATTTAATCCAGGATGTCTAAAATGAGGGTTACCATGCAATGTGTGCTTATCGTAGTGCAAACTTTTTAAGCTATACCCATATAATATTTTTTTAATTTGTCAAGCATGGGAAAATCAGAAGTCCAAACAGTTCAAATGAATATAAAAGTTTATTGCAAGCGTATGTTGTCTACAAGAATCTGATCTACTAACAGTTAAAGAAAGTTGGGATATGTAAGAGTCAATGGAATTCAAGATGTGCTGGACTTGATCTCTTGGGCATGAAGGGACTCAAGAATGGTGATATGTTTGATCCCTTCCTCAGGCTCAGTCTGTTCCTCTCCTACAGAATTATTGTAAATTATTGAATGATTGTGAAAGTAACTTCCTTGTCAGAAGTCTTGCCAGGTATTCACAATAATGCAGTCTGCAGACTCAAATCTTTTCAATATCCATTTCCATGAGGAAGAAATGCTGTTGTCACATACACCATTTGCCACAGACCATTGCTTTGCTGAAAACAGAAAAGCTATTGCTCTTTTAGAATTACAAGCAAAATGCCAGAGAAATAACTGGATCAAGGCTTGAAAAAAAAACAAGTTCACCATTTCTTTGCAGCCTCTGATTGAACTCCAGAAAAAGAAAAGTCCAAGTCCTTTATTTCAAAAGGATTTTATAGCTGCAGAAAAAGATAAAACATTATGACTGTTGTGTCCTGAGCCTGCAAAGGCAGGCTCGGGACATTGCAATGGTCCTGGGCTGTTGCAAGCTGCCCGGGACCAGACTGAGTGGCGCCAGCCTGCGCGCATGCGCAAGGCGCAAAAGCACGCCATTCTTTGTTACCTTTTTGCCCGGGGATTCTATTTAGAGGCAGAGAGGCCTGCAAGCCTCTTAGTTGTGTCGGAGAGAGCTGAAGAGAATAAAAGCTGTTATAACCATCAGAATGTGTGCTCTTCTTTCGCCGTTGACTTGAGGACTCAACAATGACCACAAATGTTTTATCTAGATTTGTGATTTGTATTTATGTATCATGCTAAAGTTTATGTTTTTTATTCATAAAGATTGACTGAAAGCATATTCAAAAAGCTATTCTTTTTTTGCCTCTATGATATTCTTGAGATCTATAACACTTTGTAATATTCTTAGTAAAGAACATTTACTTTGTAGCAGACTAGTGCCATCTTGTGGCATACCTGGAACACTGCATTTTCTTTTTTTGAGAAATTCTGTTTTACCAGTTGAAGAGCACTGATGATGTTACCTAGTTGGATAATGAAACTTCTGCAAGAAAATAAACCAAGCTTGAATCTGTCTCCTCAGTAAGATCTAGTAAAAGAGAATTGCTGCATTTCCCACATTTTGGAGAATGTCATCTACAATGATCTCTTACTTGAGCTTTCTTAGAGTTGTCTTACGTACTGGAACTATTCTCAGGTATAGGTGATCATTGGTTAATGACTACTCATTCAGCAATGATTTAAACTTGCAATGGCACTGAACAAATTATATTTATGACTGATCTTTAGAGTTCCAGCCATTTCAGCTTCCTTGTAGTCAACATTTGCAACCTTCTTTGCTGGCTTCCAACAAGTAAAGTCAGTGGGAAAGCTGACAGGAGGTCACATAATGATCATCTGACATTCCCACTAATGACCTACAATGATTCACTTATAGGCAACTTTGAGTGCTGGAATTGCTGTGGCAAAGTGGTATCATGTGATGTAATGCTTTAAGACCACATCGCTTAGTGATGGCTAAAGCCTATTGCCATTGTTAATCAAGCACTATTTGTATGCATACAATATCCTTCGTATTATGTTTTTGAACTGCTGGCTGTTCATGGCTGTCCAGAGAAACAGTTAGGGATGCTTTAAGATTCTGCTGCCCAAACATTAACACATCAGGGAGACATATTATACTTATATAATTATTTTCTATGTTTTGATTTTTGTTATTATCAGTAAGCTGCTAGCCTCTAGAACCTGAGTAACATATACACTGTGGGCACAATTATTAGACAAGTTGTACTTTGGAGGATTAATTTTCTCATTGAAAAGTACAGTGGTCTCGGTCAATCCAAAATGTTAATAAACCTCAAACTTGAATATTTAACAAAGTAAAAGTGAGATTTTGGTTTTCTTAGGTGAATATCTATGTGTGTACATTATTTGGGCAAATATTAGTGCGCAGAATTATCATACAACTAAATGAAAAACAAAAATATGCCCATCTCACTTATTTATTTGCATCTGTTAAAGTGAGAATACAACTCAAATTGTACAAATTATTTGTACAACTCAAATTGTACAAATAAACATTTCTGACACCCTTCTTTTCAATTACAGTCACAAGCTTTATGGAGTCTGTCAATTTCTTGATCTGTTGATGATCAACATTTTGTACAGCAGCAACCACAGCCTCCCAGACACTGTTCAGAGATGTGTACTGTTTAGGTCAGGTGAAGAAGGGGGCCATGTCATTATTCTTTCATCTTTAAGGCCTTTACTGGCTAGCTACGGAGTGGAATACTTTATACATGCGATGGAGCATTGTCCTGCATAAAAATCAAGGTCTTCTGGAAAGATGCAGACTTTTTCCTGAAGTCATCTAAAAACCGGCAATAGGTTTGGGAGTTGATTTTGAGTCCATCTTTAACCTGAAAAGGTCCAGCTAGCTCATCTTTAATAATACCGGCCCATATCAGTACCCCACCTCCACCTTGCTGGCATCTGAGCTGAAGTGGAGCTCTATTTCTGTTACTGATCCAGCCATGGGCCCATCCATCTGGTCTGTCAAGAGTCATGCCATTTCAATTTACGTGTCTCCTTCAGTGGTGGTCAGGTTTCAGCTTTCCTTATCTTGGCCATGTCTCTGAACACTGAACACCTTGAACTTCTGGGCACACCAGGTAGGTTGCAGCACTGGAGGATAATGGGTTCCTGGTAGCTCCACTTTGGATTCTTCTCAAATCTTTGACAGTTAATGTGCATCTTTTTTTCTCAACGCATTTCTTGCGACCCTGTTGACTATTTGCAACAAAACTTTTGATGGTTCTGTGATCACACTCCAATATTTTAGCAACTTCAAGAATACTGCATCCCTCTGAAAGACATTTTACTTTTGACTTTCAAAACTTAAATCTCTTTTTTTTTTGCCCATTTTGCCTGAGGAAAAGAAGCTGCCTAATAATTATGTGCACCTTGATATAGGTTGTTGATCTCCTTAGGCCACACCCTCCCACATTACACAAATACACATCACCTGATATGCTTATATCCACAAACCATTCATGTTTATACAGCTTGGAGAGGAAAAATATGTATGAAAAGATGATATGGTCAAAATACTCACTTGCCTAATAATTGTGCACACAGTATAAGCTTGAATGAATGGACTGTAGTGGAATCACTGGCTAAAGTAGAAGGGGCTCCTCTAAGGGGAATAAAGAGACATTCCAGTTTGGAATTTATTTGGGATAGGAAATGTCTGAGGTCAAGGCAGACAGTTCTTGTAAGATAAGTGATCAACAATAAAATATCTATTTGGGTCTATTCACAAGTGGTTTTGGTTGCATATACCTGACATGAATGTATCAATGGATGAATATTGCAATTATAGCAAAATAATCTTCAGGACAATTATAAGGTTTTCCACTGATTTTCAAAAATAAATTTGAAAGTTTTATTTATCATAATTTTTTTTGCAAGGCATGCTCTTTTGGTACAAGTAATCTTTTTATTCGCTACTGCTCATATAAAATATTCTCAAAATATAATTTCATAGAAAATCTAATATAGTTCTTGAAGAAAAGATAGTGAAGAAAAATCTGGTACTTCACAGGATCAAAGAAAGGGAATCAAAATGTGATTAGGAAATTAGGAATTTGAAAAAAAAGAAGGGATACGCAATGAGGAAGTAGAGTTGGAATATCAGGGTTGAATCATATGCAGCTTGTCAGCCTAAGATAGCCACCAAGAGTCAACAGGTGTACCAAAAATCTGATAAAAATTATGTTGCTCAGGAGAGGTTCAATAGGAGCAGGAGCTTTTTCTGTAACCCTTCTTGTCCAAGATCCAGTGGCCAGCAAGATGATAGGGCAGCCTTGCATGCCTTCCGCTTGTGAGAACTTTGATACCCAGAATTTCCAGCAATTGGCAGGGGTTCCCAACCCCCAGTCTGCAATCAGGTACTGGTCTACAGCTTGTGAAGACCCAGTCTGCGCAAGCAGCGGGCAAGCCTGCAAAGCTCCATTTGTGCAAATGGCGGATGTGCGCATGAAACCATCGCCTCTCCACCCCCCCCATACTGCCGCCACTGCTGTTGGTCCAGGGACCTGAAAGATAGGGATGCTGGCTTATGGTTCCCAATTATAAACAATTACTTGAAATTCAGTGGTTTATGAAACAAAATTCCAAACTTAGCAATTCTTTGTAGCTGGAAAGATAGTTCACAGAACCTATAAGAGTGACCTTTTTTTACTATTATATGATTGCTGAGAAGATCATTGAAGGAAGATAGGAGTTTCAAAATCTTTAACTGTGAACCTCTAGTATGAAACATTTCTGTAATTCCTGTGATTTATATTTGTTTTGTAATATGAGATTTAGCCATTAACTATCAACTTCCAAATTAAAGCATATCTCAAGAGAGTAAACCTTTTATGAATATATAATTCCTAATATCTTATTCAGTGGTGATTTAAAGAGTATGATGATTATAATTATAATCATTTTTAAATTTCTTAAACACATCTGCTTCCTGCTTCTTAGCATTGATGACAGTGTCATAAGAATAATTTTGTGATTGTTTTTGGTATATTTTATCAGTATGTGCTATAAATTCACAGTTTTGTAAAGGAATCTGTCAATCCTTAGTGCATTTTTAAAATATTTTTCAGGGATGTAGTTATCAAATTACTTCAATATGAAGCATCCACTAATGTGGCAGATAATAAAGGGTATTTTCCTATACACTTGGCTGCTTGGAAAGGAGATGTAGAGATTGTGAAGATTCTTATCCATCATGGGCCATCACATTCCAGAGTGAATGAACAGGTGATATTATTAAATTTATTTGTTTATATCTTCAGCAAACACAAGTAAGTATCCTTTTGTTCTTACAGAAATATGACTGGATTCATATGAAGTTCCTTCACAGCAAATCATTATTTATCTTGGTAAGGGTTATATGGATGAGAGGTTTTATACAATGTAGAACAATTTTGCAAACATCTGACATCAAAACAGATTTTTTGTAGTTACTATGATATTGTATTTAGTTCAGTCTTTTTTAAGCAGATCTTATTTTATCATTGAGATAATAAAAAATAGTATTTGGAACAAGTGCTACTGATTTTTATAAGTTGGTTGTGCTACAAAAAAGTATTGTAATTCCATGCTATAAATGAATAGCTTAATTCTATTGATATGCTAACATTTTTGTATCTTAAAATCAAAGGAGACTAAAGTCATATTAAGAGCAAGTCTATTTAAATCAACAGTGGCAGGTTGCTGTTATTTCTGTAAATATTTTTTATCAAGAATTTTAAAAACTGGGAACTTGTAACAACTTTACTATGATTTTTAAAGTTAGTAAGCTTTGCAAAATGTTTTAGAATTCCCCATTCAACCATCTTATATGCAACAATATTGGATATTAAACACTCTGGTAGCATTAGATAAAATAAGACATGATGTATGCTATTCAAATCTACATTAATTTGATTTGAATTGATTTGAATGGCTGTTTATTTCATCTAAGTGACTCTGGCCAACCAACAATAGGTCAAAACAATCCAATAAAAATAAATTAAGAACCAATATAAAGACAGATATTTAAACTATCTACAATCAATTAAAAACATGATCAGCAGTATAATTCATCTTCATATTATCTATTATTACTCAAAAAAGTGTTGATGATTATGTACAGTTTGATAGAATGGTCTATTAGATTGCAGCAGATGTAATCCTAGAAGTATACTACCACTTCCACATAGTCCCTTAGAACAGGAGTCCCCAACCCCTGGTCCATGGACTGGCACTGGACTACGGCATGCCAGAAACAGGTCTGCACAAACAAGCAAAGCCCCATCTGTGGGATGCAGACAGTACATGAAACCACACCCCCTCTGGTCCACAGAAAAACCTCTCTCCATGGAACCGGTCCCTGGTGCTCAAAAGGTTGGAGACCTCTGCCTTAGAATGATATTAAAACAGCAGAAATTCTTATTAGTTTTTCTCTTTTTCAAAACTCTCAGTATTATCAGGCAATGTGTTCTAGAAATGCATACCATTACTATTACAGTACTGTTTTTTAAAGAGTTTTCTGCCTAAAAAATATTATAGGTGTAATAGGATTGCAAAGGGTAAGCTGTTATTACTTTAAACTGGTGGAGGGAAAAGACTTAAGTTTTTTGCATCTATTATAAGACCATTATGAAGCAAGGAAAATGTTCTAACCATCTTTCTTCCTTTCTCCTAGAAAATATTTAGGAAAAACTAGAAAAAATAAATATACTGTAAATCTGATGGATCTAGAGAACTTTTCAAGTATATTTAATATAAATGAATTTTACAAAATGGAAAATTTGAATATTTGGCTTGTCAGATTTCTAGTTGAAAAGAGTGTAGAATGTGTTTAAAACAAACTTTTATTTCATTGTTAAATTGAAAAAATACCACCTTTACATATTTCCTATAGTTTTGGTATAAGAACATCTAATGTAGTTTCAGAATGTTGAAAATAACATTTATTCCCAGGAATTGTAGCCACAGAATATAGTAGCTGCTTTCTTTATAGGTATGTTTATGAAAAAGAAAGAAAAAATGTATGAAAGAAAGTTGCTATATCTGAAATTATAGTTTACCTCTGGTTGCTATTTTTTTTTTTTAAAAAAAAATCAGATTGCTAAATTGCAAGTACTGGACAAATGATAACTTTAGAATTAGGAAACTGGATTAAAGTGTTACTTATGACAGGGAGTGCAATGTTATAATACAGAAATAACAGTTTATTCATAAACAATCATTGGGTAGGTGACTATGATGTTTACTAGGCAAAATATTATAGTATAATAAGTAAATGTGTGAATCTGCAGAGAAAGAAAGTTGTATGAAATATAGAAGGATTTTCTTGGTTTGTTAAATGTAAATGAGGAATCAGGTTTTAAAGTAAATTTGTTAAACAAATAAGTATTTGAAGTTGATATTTTAAACAATAAAGAAACCTTTTTTTAAAATTATGTTGAAATACAATTCCTGATTCACATATAACAAGCTAGGAATCTGCTAAACATATCAAGATTTGTTAATTTTCTGGAAACATGGATGAAAAGAAACAAGGCCCTTTTTTGGCATGTTTTATTTAGTTTGTTTATATATTACCAATACCATAAGGATTCACTGTATAAAACTAAATATAAAACTGTTAAAGCCATAAAATTAGTACTGCAACTTGAAAGAAATCAGCCTAACATCCATATTAAGCGAGCATGTCAATTCTTAAAAATAATAAATTTGACTAAATTGAAAGATCTGTGTAAAAACTTGGTTTTAAGGCCTTTCTAAATATTATCCAGGAAGGTGCTGTCCAGTTTTCTGAAGACAAGATATAACATAGGAATGGAATGAAAATTTAAAAACACCAGGTTTTTCTCCCCACTGCCATTTGATGGAAGGAGATATCTTCAGTGGTACTTTTTACATTTTATTTACATTTTACATTTTATTTCTGAAATATTTTGGAAATACTTACATGAAAATCAGGACACATTTATAATATACCCATTGAAATAATTTTAGCACAGAGATTATCTTAAGAACCTTGGGGGAAATTACTATATACACACGTGTATAGATTATAAAATATATAAGATAAGTAATAAACTGATATAAAGTGTTTGAAAATGATTTAAAATCAAACAGCAATAACCACAATGCAATAATAGGGGAACAGATATTTACAAAGAACAGTAGGACATATTCATGCTGGAATGATTAACTCTCAAATTTAAGTGTTTTTTTTAATCTAGTTCTGAAAGGCATCGTTAGTAGCAATTTGATCTCTTGAGAGATGGCATTTCAAGTAGAAATGCCACATCTTGTGTATTATCTCATACTTAAAGAGAAGTAAGCAAGATCTTAAAGTAAAATAAATTTAAGATTTAAATTTGTTTAATTGAGAAGAATTATTACTCTTTTTAATAAATAAATATTAGTGCAAAATTATATTCTGACTTTAAGACTTTTATAATCTCATTGATATGTTTTATGTGAAGAATCACATAAACTGGGTTCATATCATAATAATATTTAATGTCTGAAAATATCAGCAAAAAGTCATAGGGAAAGTAGGGAAGTTTCAAAAACTGTTTCCTGTTCTCTTTTCTTTTCTTGCCCTTTATGTGTCTTGCTCTGTAAATCTGTTGTTTTCTATCTTCCTTATTTCTGTCTTTCTTTCTCCTTACTTTCTACTTTCCCTCCCTCTTCCTTTTTCTCTTAGGGTCAACTCAGCAGTTGCAGTAGAACTGCAACAGAGGGTTTTATCAATGACATTGACACAAGATTGAAATTGACTAGACACCCTCAGTTTTAGTCAGTTTCAATCTGCATCTTGAGTCCCAGGTAAAGTCATACTGAATTTTGCTGGAACATGCTCTTTGCAAATACATTGAATTGGGTAAAATATATAACCCAAGCTCAATGTGTGCTTTTCCAGATGCATATTTTATTCCTGTAATTTATATACAGGAATTATCAAAATAACTTTGTATGATAAATTGAATATCTCATTGCATATTTAAATCAAGCAATTATGCATGCATGGCTTATAAAATATATTCATTATGCTTGTGGCTGAGACTGTTCTACTACGTATTTTCTGGCAAAAATCTATATTGCAAAAATATTCCGGGAAACACAGTATTTGTATATAAACACAATACTTTTTGTTACTTGTGTTAAATATAATATCTATTCAATGTAAAAAATTGTAATAACACAATTGAAATGATAGGACCAAAACAAAGTTTACTAAGATACTAGTTGTCATGATTTGCAATTTTAAATATTTTTACATTGAAAAATGACTAGAATTGAGAATTTGATATTGGTCTTCAGAGAATTGATGAAATTAAAGTACAATTTATTTTTAAAATATTGCTATGGATTAATCTTTAAATCTGTTTTTTTCCTTTCCTGGAAAATAATGGCTGTTCACTGTGTGGATATTTTATGATTATATTTATAAGTGACCCCGAACTCTATAGCTTCCCAACACCAAAGAATTATTTCAACATATGTGAAACTCAAAATGTAATACTTTTCATATCTTTTTGTCAGTTTATCTACTCATCTAGATTTTTTTTAAAAAAATATATTATTGTTACTAGTAATGTTCTGGAAAGAAAAATGTTTCTGCCTACTCTAAATATTAAGTAATATTTTTAAAATTTGATATTCTAAAATACAACTAGCATCAATAATGTACTATTTCAAGCAAATTAGATCAATATTTATTTAATTATTTAGGAAATGTACTTGGACACTTATCTCACCAAAATGGCTGTAGGCAGTGCATAGAAGGTTAAAATCAAAATCAAAACCAAACAGTTAGAATTTTAAAAATTCAGTGTTAGAAAAACAGTGACAGAACACCATCCACAATCAAGAAAAACCCCTGTTTTGAATTACTAATACCCCAACCAACCAACCAATCAAACCAGACTCATTGAACCACCTGGAACAAATGCCTGTGGGTAAATCCAAATTTTTGAACATCTTCCAAAAGGTGAACAAAATTGGGGCCATCCAGATCTTGGGGGAAATGCTGTTCCACAGGACAGGTTCAATGACAAAGGTCCCACAAGACAATGCTATCTAAAATATAGGACCAGAAGAATATTTCTGATAGAGTAGGCTGAAATAATCAGAGACAGGTGGTCCCACAAATAACCTGATTCTTGCCATGTAGAGCTTTACAAGTGATAACCAGCACCTTAAATTGTACATCACATTGTATTGCACCTAGAACCTCAATGGAAGACAATGCAGCTTACAAATCAGGGGCATTAAATTGGCATATCATGGAATGCCCCAAATTGCCAGCTGTTGTGTTGTTGCACTTTGGACCGCTTCTAGTCTTTCAAGGACAGACCCATCTAGCCCATATTAACGTAAACCCACCAAGAAGTGTGTAAGGCATTAATGACTGTAAATAGGGCATCTCAATCCAGGGCTCAATTGGTTCGCAAAGTGAACCTGTGTAAAGGCCTTCCCAGCCAGGCTGCCATCTCCTTTTCAAGCAGGAGTGGTGAGCCCAGGAAGACCCTCAAATTGTGCTCTAATTCTAAAGATGGAAAATCTGTAGATCTGAGGGTCAGGTGTGTATCTTAAAACCAACAACCATTCAGTCTCACCAGTTGAACTGAAGCCTTCTCCACCCGGGCTTCCATGGCTTCCAGGCATTAATAGCATCCTTTGGTCAGTTCATAACATAAATATATAGTCAAATATCTCACTCAGTTTCAACTGATAATCAACCCAGGAGTCCCATGGAAATGTTAAATAGGAACAGGGAATGAACAGAGCCCCAAGGAATCTTGCAAAGCAGGGTATTCAGCCATGGAACTCTTCCCACCTACCAGAGTGATACGAATCAGCCCTGAAGGAAGGAGAACTAGTGCATCAGCATATGCTTCACTCCCAATCCTCTGAGATGACTCAGAGTGTACCATGATTGATATTATCAAAGGCCACTGAGAGATTGAGGGCCAGCATGGATGCATTACCTCCATCCTGAGTCTACCAAAGGTTGATCAATATTGTCTGTATGCTACCGTATTATCAGGACTGAATCCTGATTGAAAGATGTGCAGCTAATTTGCTTCCTCCAGGATCTTCTGGAGTTACAAGACAACAAACTTCTCAACAACCATTGGGGAGATGGGTAGCATATAAATTTAATAAATAAATAAAATAAAACTTGAAAAGGGAAAGCTGGAAACTGGATGAGAATTGTCCAGTTCTGTTAGTGTCCAAAAATGACTTCTTCAAGAAAAAGTGAATTATTGCCTCTTTCAAAGCATGTGCTACCACACCTTCCACAAAAAGACATCCATTACCCTATGGATCCAACCAATGTCACTTCCTGGGAAGTCTTGATCAGACAAGAGGAGTATGCATCATATTATTTAAACAAATATCGTAAGCAATATTGTACATTGACATGAGATGGGGAAATATATCTGATAAAATTTATGTATGTATGTATGTATGTATTTAATTTATTTATTTAATCAGTTAACAGAATAACAGAATTGAAAGGGATTTTGGAGGTCTTCTAGTCCAACCCCCTGCTCAAGCAGAAAATCCTATACCATTTCAGACAAGTGGTTGTCCAACCTTTTCTTAAAAACTTCCAGTGTTGGGGCATTCACAACTTCTGGAGGAAACCCATTCCACTGATCAATTATTCCAATTGTCAGGAAATTTCTCTGTAGTTCTAAGTTAGTTTTTTCCCTGATTAGTTTCCATCCATTGTTTCTTGTTTTGCCTTCAGGTGCTTTGGAGAATAGGTTGTGGCAACCTCTTAGATATTGGAACACTGCTATCATGTTACCCCTAGCCCTTAATACCGAATTGCTGCAACCGTTCTTCATATGTTTTACCCTTCAGTCCTCTAATCATCTTTGCTGCTGTTCTCTACAATCTTTCTAGAGCAGTGGTTCTCAAACTTTTTAATGCCGCGACCCCCAACCGGTCGTAAGTCGAGGACTACTCAACCGGTTGTAAGTCGAGGACTACTCAACTGTGCAGCACCGTTTGCAGAATGGGACTTTTGGTGGGCTTAGCAGGGCAGAGACAGCCTGGACAATTCCTATTGGCTTTTGAAAGCCAATAGAATTAGATTCTATTCAAGAGAGTCTATTCTATTGGCTTTCAAAAGCCAATAGAATAAAAGGGAGTAGCACAGCTAAGGAAAAGGGGGAAAAATGGCGGACTGCGTTGTTTGGCGACCCCCGTGAAATGGTCGTTCGACCCCAACTGGGGTCCCGATCCACAGGTTGAGAACCACTGTTCTAGAGTCTCAGTATCTTTTTTATACTGTGGCGACCAAAACTGGATGCAATATTCCAAGGTTGATCTTTCCAAGGCATTATAACAGTGGTTCTCAACCTGTGGGTCGGGACCCCATTTGGGGTCGAACGACCATTTCACGGGGGTCACCAAACAACGCAGTCCGCCATTTTTTTCCCCTTTTCCTTAGCTGTGCTATTCCCTTTTATTCTATTGGCTTTTGAAAGCCAATAGAATAGACTCTCCTGAATAGAGTCTAATTCTATTGGCTTTCAAAAGCCAATAGGAATTGTCCAGGCTGTCTCTGCCCTGCTGAGCCCGCCAAAAGTCCCATTCTGCAAACGGTGCTGCACCAGTTGAGTAGTCCTCAACTTACGACCGGTTGAGTAGTCCTCGACTTACGACCAGTTGGGGGTCGCGGCATTAAAAAGGTTGAGAACCACTGCATTATAAAGTGGTATTAACACTTCATGTGATCTTGATTCTATACCTCTGTTAATGAAGCCTAGGACTGTGTTGGCATTTTTGGGAGCTGCAGCACACTGCTGGGTCATATTTAAGTGATTGTCCAATAGGACTCCAAGATCCTAGTGGACTCAGTAGCGGTCTTCTTTTATGCACAAATCCTATCCTGATAGTATTAACTCAGAATGTGAAAATGCTTTTGTTATTTTTTACCATTTGTAATTTTATAATTGAGACATAATATATAAGAATAGTATTGGAAATAGTTAAGTACCAATAACATTTGAGTAAAATATGTAGATACATTTTCAAATGAGACTTTATACTATATACAATCAAGATTTGTATTCCTTTTTCTAGTGAACAGATTGCATCATTTAGAGAACAAGAGAAATTGAGGTAACAGAACTATCTCATCTAAAGGCTATTAGCAAAACTAATTTTTTATTTGCTGCTAGATCTGCTCAATGTGTTACAAACATGTCTCAAAAAGCAATTGTATTGTATTATAGTATTCAGGAGAAGGCATTTAATTTTTTTCTCTTTTAACAGAACAATGAAAATGAAACAGCTTTGCACTGTGCTGCCCAATATGGACACTCAGAAGTGGTTGCTATTTTGCTTGAAGAACTTACAGATCCCACAATAAGAAACAACAAATTAGAAACTCCATTGGACTTGGCAGCTTTATATGGCCGACTGCAAGTGGTGAAGATGATAATCAATGCATATCCAAATCTGATGAGCTGTAACACAAGAAAGCATACTCCTTTACATCTTGCTGCACGTAATGGTCATAAAGCTGTGGTACAAGAGCTGCTAGAAGCTGGAATGGATGTCAGCTGCCAAGTTAGTAATTTTTTTAAAATATTGCACTGTTTAAATAAAGGTTGGCAAATCATATGTCCCTATAGTTTCACATTTATCATGTTCATAATGGCAAATAATAACAACTTATAGTTTGTAGTTTGGGCATAATAAATGGCTTCTGCCCTCAGCTAAATTATGTTTCCTAATATTTATTGGGTGGGGCAAGCTGAGTAATATTTGGACACCTGTAAAAGCAGGTTTGTGACAAATCTGATTTAGGAAAGCCCTACTCATAACTCTCTTAAAGCATCTACAATAGCCACCTGGTGCTAGATAATTAAAGATTCACAACTGTACTAAAATTTGCTGTCCTGATTAATCATTTTCTCAGTCATTTAGAGAAAGCTTTTAAAATTAATCTTTATGATGAATTATTTCTCCCACAATATTGATAGGCATATCAGAATTTTATTAACAGTGAGAACCACTCTGTTGCAATCATACCTAGTTATACAACATAAGACATTATTAAGGGCTCAGCTCTAGCTTTTCTTTAGATTTTTTCAAATTGTTCAGAGCAAAGAAGAAGCAGATAGCCTGGCATCACCTTTCAATAAGTTATATGTTCTCTTTGATTCTGGTTCAGCTATAGTCAGCTTCCAGGGAACAGGATTGGCTAGACTTAGCTGCCAAGGATGTCCTGCCAGTTATGACTAAAAATCTTAGCTCTTTAAACCCTGAATCCTTTATTCAAGAACTAGCTTCACAACTAGGAGTAAAGAACAGGACGTGACTAGATAATAACTTACTTACTTATGATCTAGAGCAGGGGTGTCAAACTGCTATTCCACAGGCCAGAAGCATCACGTGGAAGCCACAGCCACCCCAGCTCCAGCAATGGGGAAAAAGGCACAATGCATCGTGACACGTCATGTGACGCGGCGAGTTTGACACCCCTGATTTAGAGCCAAGATATATGCAACAGAAAAACTGCCTATTACGGTTCACAACAATAAAAGCACATGGGTGGCTTTGGGAGAGAAAGAGAGATGCCTCAAAAGAAGATTTAACTCCAGTGATTGAGCAATGATTGACCTGAACTGCTGGTCATGCAACATTATATTTCTAATGAAACAGTAATGGAATTCGCCTTTGTAAATGATTGTGGCCATTGTTAAAAGTGAAACTGATAAGACAGGAACCAGTGATTCCAAGGTTGATAAGACAGGAACCAGAGATTCCAAGGAGAGAGACATTATATGAGCATATATGAGCTGTCAAATTGATAGAATTGGTAGAAACTCATTTGACCTGTCTCACCAGAACACACATGAATCATGTTCAATTTATTTATATTAGTTATATGTAATCAGTTAATAAATTAAACTTTATATCACTGTTTAATTTAAACAGTGAGAGCCTGGACAGCATACACAATTATTAAACAAAAGTACAAAAGAAAAATATGACATACTACTAAAGCAAACTTCCAGGATTAAAATATACCAGTTGGGAACTTTGCTCATCCTGACCCAAGGCATGGAAAAAGGACTTAACTGCTTTTCTAAAGGCCTTCAGCTCTTCATATTTGGGGGCAGGGGATTTTGTTTCAGGGGACAAGGGTTGTCACCAAGAATTGGAATTTAGCATTGGCTAGGCCTGATGGTCTGGATTCATACGAATTTCATCTGAATCTAGGCCACCTAGTCTTGCTGAATTATTAGAATGTTCCCAAGTTATCTTGGCTTCCAGTTTACTAGGGAAAATAAGATAAAGCTTGGCTATAAAGGTCAAATTAAATAATACAAAAATGTCTTGTTGAAAAGTTAGGGTCACCTTTTATTCAGGGCAATTTCCTGGAGAGTCTCAGATTGGTTCTTCCAATCTTATTGTCCAATCTTTTATAGCTGCCCAATTTTTTAAGGCTAGGAGAACATCTGGAAAGCTGTAGAGGCCTAATTAGATCAGAATACACATACAAATGACTTATAACTTAATCCTTCTAGAATTGAAGCTAAGAGTGCTAGGTGGCTAATCCCTGAATTAACATAATTCCCTTATTGAGGATAAACACATATGAAGGAATAGTAGTACGATGCATTTGTTCTTTGGAATCTTCCTGAGAAACTAGTGTTATAGGGAGGCAAAGAAAAAAAGGAAGAAGTGAAATCTTGTAGAATTTAGGGTGGGGAATCCAGTGTACTTAGGTTAGGGTTAGAGTTATGCCTCAGACCCAAACGCTCTTCTAGTATATGCTTGACTCTAGCTCCTCACAAATCTTTAAGTAGTTACCACCATACATTTCCACTATATTTGCCAAAGGTTCCAATATTTATCCTTGCTCTAGAATTTGGAAGTTCACAAAGTGGGGTTCATTTTAAGCTTATTGACTGATTCTGCAGCTAAATAGGCCAACCTATGCCTTGCAGCTGAAACGACCATCCTACAGAATTGGAGAATCTTCATAAAAGAATTCTCTCAGACTTCTAAAGACCTTAACAAGGTTAAGACAGCAAATTGAAGGATGTACCACCTGTGCCAAGGGGGTGCGTTCTATGATACAATACATCTCTGGGTTCAAACAAATAACAAAGGACTGAGCCTAGAATGATGCATAACTTCTAGACCAGTTCCAGGAAGGATTCTTAAATACAATCTTGGATGACCTGATCTGGTCCTACTATACTATACAAGCTTATCCAACTTTGTGTAGGGATTCCTGGCTGTCTTGAAGCACACAAGGTTCAGTGGATCTACACAGGTTCTGTCACAAAGTCTTACTAATAACCATAAGCAAGACTTGGAACTTGCCCCAATGATTAAGGTAAAGTGTCTCCGTAGGTTTTACCCTGCTACTTGTGACCGACTTTAAGGGGCAATGCTCATCTCTATTTTGTAAGCCAACATTATCTGGAGATGTTTCCATGATCATTTGGCCAGCATGACATCATGCCACAGCATAAAGCACAGGGCAAAAAACAGTATGCTATAACCTGCATGCTTATATGTGGTACCTGTTCATCTACTTCATTTGCATGCTTTTGAACTGCTAGGTTAGCAGGAGCTGAGACAAGTGACGATAGCTCACTCTGTTTCATGGCACAGGGTCTCAAACTGTTGAGCTACATGCCTTTAACGATCTAAGATTCAGTGAGTATCATGCAGCAAATGTAAAATGACCCATACAATTTAGTAGCAGTCACAATCAAACTAACTGAATCTAAGAAGAACCAACAGCATTAGAGAAGTGTATCAAATGTCAAATCAGTACACCACCAGTATCCTGAAAAGTATTTCAAGGGACATCAGGTGTGAAATAACAACTTCCATGTCAGTCTGAGGCACTAAGTTCAGGGATGAAATTTGCAACCCTGAATAACTTCCAGATGCCAGTAGAGTTATAGGTTCCATTATTGCCTGATCCAAATATATACAACTATTGGTTCTAGGGTATTTTGCAGTTTCATTAACATTGCCTTTATGGACCAGAGCAGAATCCCTATATGCATAGTCCTGTAGTGTCAGTGAAGAATATTGATGGATGTTCCATGCACCAGTGATCTTACATATGTAGCAGCACCATGAAAAGTTCGAGCTCTTGGTCATATCAGCTGTCGACTTTCAGCTTATCCTAAAGCAGTGGTTCTCAACCTGTGGGTTGGGACCTCATTTGGGGTCGAACGACCATTTCACGGGGGTCGCCAAACAATGCAGTCCGCCATTTTTCCCCCCTTTTCCTTAGCTGTGCTACTCCCTTTTATTCTATTGGCTTTTGAAAGCCAATAGGAATTGTCCAGGCTGTCTCTGCCCCGCTGAGCCCGCCAAAAGTCCCATTCTGCAAACGGTGCTGCACCAGTTGAGTAGTCCTCGACTTACGACTGGTTGAGTAGTCCTCGACTTACGACCGGTTGGGGGTCGCGGCATTAAAAAGGTTGAGAACCACTGTCCTAAAGCTTCCGTGGTTGACCCAATGATTTCCTTGTCTACAAGCACATTGCTGTTCTCTGTCAAATGAAGCCAAAAACATATGAAATCCTGTAGGCTGCTCAAAGAAACCAGAGCACCTGTTCCACAATGCTTTTGCTAAGGAGGTCAAGCATCTTCACCTCTACTGAGTTATTTACAGAACTGTCTCTCCCCAATTGTCTTTACCTATCTACCCAATCTAGCAGGAGGAACATGCTCTGGGTACCATCAACTAAGGAAAATCAGTTTGCACAATATTTTGGTTAATCCAATGTTTTTTCTGTGCTTAAACATTTAATCAGATATTACATAATGCTATGAAAGTAATGGATCAATTTGATTACCTTCATGATTAGTATAAATTCATTACAGTAATAATGCTATGAAAGTAATGGATCAATTTGATTACCTTCATGATTAGTATAAATTCATTACAGTAATTCAAATGATGTTTTATTATGATAGTTTCTCATGTTCTTCTGTATTCCAAATTTATATTAACTGATATTTATAGGCTATATCTTTGTTTAACACAAAACAATACTTGTTGATCAATTTTACTGATTCATAGTATTAAGTTTACTGTATACCAGGGATCCCCAACCTTTTGGGCACCAGGGATCAGTTCTGTGGAGAGAGTTTTTTCCGTGGACCGGAGGGGGCATGGTTTTGTGTGCTACCTGCATCCTGTGGATGGGGCTTTGCTTGTTTGTGCAGCCCGGTTGCTGGCATGCCATGGCCCAGTACTGGTCTACAGACCAAGGGTTGGGGACCCCTGCTGTATACAGTATACAAATTTTGGGAATACTTTTTGTATCACAATGATGTATTTTTAGACTAAGTGTTAATTTCTGTGATGTTTGTAAGTCTTCCACTAAACATTTCAGAATCTGGACTTATTGTAATAGCACTTGTTTTGACTGTCTTGTAGACTATTTCTTCCCAACCAATACTAACTTGCATACCTATTTTTGGGGTGTGTGTAAGTGTGCATATTCTAATGATATAATAGTGTATTTATTCTGCTATAGTCATTACTGATTTTAATAATATTTGGGGGCCTAACTAAATGA